TAGATCCAGGATGGCTACAGATAGCTCAGCAGGGCAGGGAGGAGCAGCCAGAGGAAAGAGTGAAACGAGGGGGAGCTCATGAGGAACGAAGGGGGGGAGTGGGGTAGGGCGGCTGGGAGGGAGGAGGCAAGTAGGGAGCTACTCCGCCCTCCTCCTCCTCCTCCTCCTCTCCCTCCTCCTCCTCCTCCTCCTCCTCCTCCTCCTCCTCCTCCTCCTCATCACCACCACCACCATCATCATCATCACCACAATCATCACCACCACCACCATCACCATCACCACCACCACCACCACCATCACCATCACCGTCATCACCGTCATCACCGTCATCACCGTCATCACCGTCATCACCGTCATCATCGTCATCACCGTCATCACCGTCATCACCGTTATCACCGTCATCACCGTCATCACCGTCATCACCGTCATCATCATCATCATCATCATCATCATCATCATCAGCATCAGCATCAGCATCAGCATCATGATCATAATAATCATCATCATCATCATCAGCATCATCATCATCACCACCACCACAATAACCATCACCATCACCATCACCATCACAACCACCATCATCATCATCGTCATCATCGTCATCATCATCATCATCATCACCACCACCACCATCATCATCATCATCATTATAATCATCATCATCATCATCATTATCATCATCATCGTCATCATCATCATCGTCCTCATCATCATCATCATCATCGTCATCTTCATCGTCATCATCATCATCACCATCATCATAACCATCATCATCATCAAGATCATCATCATCATAATCATCATCATCATCTGCATCATCATCATGATCGTCATCATCGTCATCATCATCATCATCATCATCTGCCTCATCATCATAATCGTCATCAATATCCTCATCATCATCAACATCATCATCATCATGATCATGATCATCATCATCATCATCATCATCATCATCATCATCATCATCCTCATCGCCGTCATTATCATCATAATCGCCCCCCTCCCCTCATCATCGTCCCTCCTTCCACTCATTATCATCGTCATCATCCCTCCCCTCCCGTCCCTCCTCCCTCCCCTCCAGTCCCTCCTGCTGCCGCTACTTCCCTTTCCGCTCCCCAGAAGACATAAAGAGAGCGAGGAAGATAGAGAGACAGAGACAGAGACAGAGACAGAGACAAAGAGAGAGAGAGAGAGAGACGCACGCACGCACGCACAAACGCACACACGCGCTCTGGCGGCCGCATGAAACGTAGACTGAAAGAGAAAACGCGCCGCATTGAATAGCAATATCCCTAATGAACCGTGGTGAAACTTGAGGAAGACGCCCAAGACGGCCCCCCAGGCCCCCCAGACGGCCCCAGACGGCTCCAAAGAACCCCCCCAGACGGCGAGTGGGACCCCAGGATGGCCCAAGAGCGCCCCCAGACGGGGGGGAATCGGGGGGAGGGGTTGGTTGGTTGGTGTGGGGGGGGGGGCTGGGGGGCCAGACCCGGTGTCTTTCAACAACAACAACAACAACAACAACAACAACAGCAGCAGCAGCAGCAGCAACAACAGCAGCAGCAGCAGCAGCAGCAGCAGCGGCAGCAGCAACACCAACAACATGTGGGGGGGGTGCAGAATCACCGTGCGAAATCAGGCCAACTGGCAATACCGCTTAACGCTGATTGTTCTTCGCCATGCGACTCACACGCATGCCCCTGGCTCGCGTGCGTGGCACACGTGTTCGTGTGAAGTGCAGCATAGAAGATGCAGGTCAAAGATGCCGCTGACATCGCCTGCGACGAGACGCTGCGACGAAGAGGCGGGCAACACGATACAGACAACATGAGGTCGTGAGAACAGCAGCGGCGCTGATTCAGCTCGCGAAAATTGCACCACAATGTCATACGCGGAAGGTCCTGAATACATATATATATATATATATATATATATATGTGTATATGTCTGCGGATCCTGTCACCGACCGCATCTGGAAGGCGGCTCAATAAGTTCCTGCACCTGGCTTACAGATCCGCATCCTGCGATAAACTCTCAGCCGCCCGCGCCTAAGCCGCCCTGCAAATAGCACGGCCTGGCTAGACAGCATAATCCCTTAGATTGTCACGAGGACCACGCAGACGCAAGTGTTCCTCCACAAGGTGTAAATGTCACTTCCTGTTGCCACGCAAATCAGGTTCCCCATCCCGCGCTCTGACTGACCCCTGTCTTTTGAACCACGACCCCGTATACATCAAGCCCTCCCGTAGACACCAGCCATGAGCAACCCCCCATTAATAGAAGAAGAAACGGAATAAACATAAACTTTTGGCGCTCTGCGTGGATTTCTTGGATCTGCGCTGGCGCGCGGAGCGCGCAAAGGGCGGCGCCGGAGGCACCGCCAGGCCCAAGCGCCGATCCAAAACATCCGCGCAGAGCGCCAAAAGTATATGTTTATGCCGCTTTTCTCCTCTTCGAATTAGAACCCTTCGAATCACGGAGACTTCTATTGGGGGCGCGCAAACATGGATTGGCGATCCAAGAATTTGGCGCGCGGTCGCCAAATCCATGGATCGGGGGAGGTGTCCTCCCCCAAAGTGCGGCCGGTGCCGCATCGTTCGGCGTCGGAAGTCTGCGATTTCCCCTAGAAACGGGACCCGTCGCCAGTCCATGCCCCCTTGATCCATGTCTGCGATCGCCTGTTTCTCAGAAGCCTTCTGTGAGGGATGCAAAAAACGACCCTACTGTGGGTTACAAGTGCGTGGTCTGTAAACCTCCTGGGACCCCCCAAAGCCTAGAGCCGCCAGGACGCGGCACATCACGCAGGGTTTATCCTGTCAGCCCACAGGAGTTTCAGCGCACAGCGCCTCGTAAACCAGGGTAGGGGCGTTTTTAATGCCCTTGATTCTGAACGCCTTCAGGGCCTTCTGCGAAACATCCCCCGCCTTCCAAGAGCCACCCCGTCCTCCGAAAGAGCCCCCTCCCCCCTCGCGCCGCCCCGCGCTGCGCGCGGCCCAGAGGAGGGCGCCGGCGCAGGTGGCGCCGCAGGGTCGCACCGCATCGCCGATGCACCGGCGACGTCGGGATGGGAAAGGGCGCGATGCTCCGCCCCCAGCTGCATCGGCCCCCTTTCCAGGTGGCCTTATATGAAAGATGAGAGAGTTACCAGCCTCGAACTTATCCCTATCCCTAAGATTGACACGCCAAAAGGTGATGACAATCTTAGGGATGCGCCCTCGAAAAATAAGGGAATCCCTAAGATTGGCATCGTGATGAGGAGATGCCCAGCATAGGGATAGGGATATGTTCCAGGCTGGTAAGAGAGAGTGTTAAGGTTGCTCCCATCGTACTTCAAAAATGGCCCACATCCCAGAAGTGTCGAGCACCCAGAAGATGATCGGAACGGTGTCGGGCAAGTATCGCCTCCCAGGGCCCGACACGTGAAAGGCCTCCAGTTTCGGTACTTTCTCGGTGCTCGAAGCTCTTCCTGGTAATCAAGGCTGAAGTAGGTTGGAATATCAGAAAGAGAATTTCGTCCTGGGACTCTGCTGTGCCCTGCTGGCCATCATCGCGCTTCGCGCCGCGCGCGAAGCGCGACCACCTTCACGCCCCTGCGGGTAACCTGGTGGCCTCTTCGGCCGTCGGGCCGGCCCACACGGCCCAGACCACGGCAACGCCATAGGTACCTGCACAGAGTTCGCATGCTCTGCTGTTCGGTCTGCAGGGCGCCCAAGACGGCCCCGAGAGACCCCCATCGCCCCGAGGCGGCCCCCGAGGTTCCCAGCGACAGAGGATGCTGATCTTGCGGAGTCGGTCTGCTCATCGGACGCGACCGTCCTCCTCCTCCTCCTCCTCCTCCTCCTGCGTCAAGGGGCTCACCTCTCGTTGCCGCGGTCTCGCTTTGTCTGGCTGTTCTTCTTTGGTGCCCTTCTTTGCTGCCTAGTTACCGCTGTGCTTGGTGTTGCCTCTTTTCTGGGTGCTTCTGTCCTTTTCGCCGGCCCCAAACCCGCCCCAACCTCACCACGTGAGGAATGAAACTGCTGGAAAAACTCCTCCTCCTCCTCCTCCTCCTCCTCCTCCTCCACACCAGCGAAGGCACCCGGACCGGGCAACCGGAGGCAGCCATCAGGAGCCCCTCATCTGCCGGAGGTGCAGGAGTTTAACCCAGGAGGCCGAAGAGAGGAAGGGAACGGCTCGGGGAAAAAAAAGTCGGCCTGGAGGCGGCGATGCTGAGTATCGTTTAACCTATCCCCATCCCCATCCCCACCAGCGTGGGCTGGGCCCCACTGGCCGGTTTACCCCCCTAGATGGGTATATAGGCTGCTCCCTTCGGGTTTCGAGGGGTGTATCCCCAACTGGGGTGGCGAGATGGTGGGGCTCGGGATGGGGATGGGGATCGGTCAAACGATACTGAGATGCATCGCCGATAGGTCGGCGACAGGACGTCGATGGCGAAGCCACACGCTCACCAGCTGGGTGGGGCGCTCATGACAAGATCGGCCGTTGATGGGCGATCGGAGTCCGTGCCCCCTCTTCGGCCAAATCCCCACCCTACCCTGAAGTCGGGCCTGCGCCTCTGCAGGGGGAATATTCCAAAATAGTACACAAGTAGTATGGGGACGATGTTTCTATTATTTTTCATGTTCATCATTTGGGAATATGTTTTGCACTTTTTTTAGTTTCACTCCAAAATCTGCCTCTAGGGGGACATGCCCGACCTAACCATACCCCTTCGCGGCCCTGGTACTGGCCGCGGCCTTAGAGTATGGGCTCGACCACAAGAGACCTTTCACAAGAAACCAAACCCTGAGTCCACAGGACGCCTCTTGATCTTTGGCGTGGGGACGTCGCGCTCTCCGTCGCAAAACCATCGAAACCGCAGAAACCCCAGGGCACCCTGGAGGCGAGCAGGGTGTTTCTTAGCATGGGCCTCCACTGCACGTCAGGAGCACGGCGCTGGAAGGGCCAGCGAAGCCGAAGCATCGCGACGAGGCGGTGGTGGGCTCGGCGGCGCTGGCCTCCGCAAACTTGGTCTCGTCGATCTTCTCGCCCTGTCGGTCGTAACAGGCAGGGGGAACTCTGGACCGCTGTTGGGGTCCTCTTCGCTCTTCCTCCTCCTCTCCCCCCTCTTTCCCCTTTCCACTCCGGCTCCCCCTACCCAGGCTCTCCTCCTCCCCCCCATCCCCCTCCTCTCCATTCTTTGTTCTCCTCGTCCTCTTCCTCCTCCTCCTCCTCCTCCTCGTTCTCCCCCTTCTCCCTCCTCCTCATCATGATCATATTCACTCCCCACCCTCTTGACATATTTCCTCCTATGACCTCCTCCTTCTCCTCGCCCACCTCCTCCTCCAGACGGATAACCCTTCCCTGCCTCTCCTCCACAAGTGTCCGTAGGACGGGCCAGGCGTTTCGCCTGTGACGTCCTCGCCACCTATGATCGTGAAGCTTCAAGTTCGCAGAAGTCACAAGGATAGAGCACATGCCGTTTCTGACATGCGGCTCTCATCTTGGAGGCGCGCGCATCCGTTCTAAAGCATTGCAGCCGATGGAGCACAGGTCGTTCTCAAAATGGGGCTCTCGCTTCGGCATCGCGCAGCATTCGCAAGGATGGAGCACATGTCGCTTTCATAGTGGGGCTCTCGCATTCGCGCCGCGTGCACTCGCCGAAGAACAAGTACAAGGATGAAGCACCAGCATCTTCAAAATGGGGCGATCGTGTCGGCGCCGCGCGCGTCCGTCTTGTATCATGCAGTGCTCGCAAGGATGGCTCTTGCCTCATCGCCGCGCACAATCGTCTTGAGTAATGGCAGAACGTGCAAGGATGGGCGCCGGTTCCTTCTCAACTGGGCTCTCATTCCACATGCTGAAGATGCGAAGCTTAAACATACGGTGCAACTGAATATTGCACTGATGAAGGGCGGCTCTTGTCCAACTTGAGGCTCTCGCTTGAGACGTCATCGATGCTCATTGCCAAAAGCTTAATATTGCAGTAGGAGCCCGACCACAAGAAACCTACCACAAGACACCAAACACTGAACCCCCAGGAAGTCCACTGATTTTTGGCGTGGGAGCGTCACGCGTTCCATAGCAGAACACCCAAGAACCCCCAGGGCACCCTGGAGGCAAGCAGGGTGTTTCTTGGCATGGGCCTACACTGTAGTGGCAGAACGTGCAAGGATGGGCGACGGTTCCTTCTCAACAGTAGGCTCTCGTTCATTATGTTGGATGCACGAAGCTTCAACGTATGGTGCAACTGCACGGATGACGGGCTGCCCTTTTCCAACTTGGGGCTCTCGCCTGAGACGTTATCGATGTTCATTGCCAACATCTGAGCGTCGACCAACAACGGGTCTTGCGCGAGGTGGCGTAGCGACCTTACGCCGCAGTTTACGCGGACCGCCCGCCCGGCACGCTGCACTGGAAACGAGGGCACTTGCGCGAGACCTTACGCGGGCAGCTTACGTGTCAATGTCGGCGAAGACGACCCCGTATTTGGCGTCGCTCAGCTCAATATTAAGCAACTGGGCATCTCGTTTGACACCCACAAGGGTGCCAGGAAGGTCCTTCGCAACACGGGGCTCGCGCGCCTGAATGGCTGGGCCTCGGGGTGTTGGTCTTCCAAGGGGGAGCTTTTCTCGCGGTGACATCGAAGGCTCGTATGGCACTCATGGGGAGGGGACCTGGGAGGGTGTAGTGCAGCATCGCTGGTGCATCTTGGGTTTGCCCCAATTGCCTCCTACTCCCCATCCTCCTGTCCCTCGTCCCCCTGCTCCTAGCCTCCTCCTCGTCCTTCTCCTCCTCCTCCTCCTCCTCCTCGACATCCATGGAAGTGTTTCCTCCAGGCTCCTTCCGGGGCTTCCAAGATACTCAGAACATGGGGACCTCTCGGAGGTCCCGGGCGACTCTTCAAAGGTCGTCGCCGTCTCGGCGATGCCTCCAAGAACCCATGCGATTTTCAGAGAGCTCCAGACCTGCATCGTCTAAAACAAATCGCGCTGGATGCGGGTTTGCAATATTCGGTGTCCGGCTGTGTTTCGCCCGCCACAAGTCATCCGAAAGAAGAACTACGATGTAAAACAAGGGGTCGGGAGATCTGGGGCCCAACGACTCGAAACCACGCGTAGATGCTTAAAGCTAAAACATATCAATACAGGGGGTGGGTGGGTGGAATGTGCGGGAATGGAAATCAAGGGGGGGCGAGCGACGATGCATATATGAGTTTGGTATATAAGACGCTGTGTCGACGCGGGTCATGGCTTCAACCAAATACCCTTGATCCAAGTGGGAATGCCAGAACGCCTTCCCACAGAGTTGTTGTGCTCCAATGGGCCTGGCCTGAACTACACGTCATGTGGTAAATAGTGGAAGCTCGAAACTCGAAGAACTGTGCGCTTGACGACTGGAGGGTGGTGGAACCCGATCGACATGTTAGAGCTTGTTTCGCACTTCGCTCAGCCCGCTAAGTTCTTGCGAACTGGAACCGCCGCACAGAGGAACTTAGCACACTCAGCATGAAGTCACCGAGCCCATCTTCGATGCTCGGAACTAATACTTGACGAAACTGGATTTCAATGCGGACACCCTAGGGCAGGACTGGTCGCGAACGCGGGTCGGCAGTGCGATCCTGCGACGTACAAGACTGTAAGACACACCGCGATCGCTGCACGGCGGATGTGCGCGTGCTCGCACGCAACATTATGAACTGACGACGGGATCCAACAACACATCACGGGTGTGCTGGCATCTGCGACGTGGCGCCGTGAGGTGCGCACGACAATGGTCGTGTCCAGCGGAGGGCCCGTCGCTCAGAGTGCACGGTCAGCTTGCGACACCACTGTGCAAGCCGAGGAGCCACCACTCCACCACCACTGCGCAGCCCGCAGCAAATCCGATTCAGACGGCTCCAGATCGCGGACTGCCTTGTCCTCGAAACGCCTGCGCAGTCCATATACATGCATTTTTCTATACATATGTATAACGTATGTGTGCTTATATGCATATATATATATGTATGTATGTATGTATGTATGTATGTATGTATGTATGTATGTATGTATGTGTGTATGGAGGAGACCTGCTGCGGCGCTTCCTGTTTGAGAGTTTGCCGCGTGCCCCCCTTGCCTCACGCGCCCAAGTGGCTCCAGCTTCCGCCTTGGCCCACTCGCTGTCGGCTCCGCACGGCGGGCGGGGCACGCGAGGCAGGTCGGGCGACGCGGGACCGGGTGGGGCAGGCGGGAAGCTCTGAAGGGGCCCTGGGACATACAAATAAATACGCACACAAGTAAAATCATCCCCTATATTTTCCTATATTTTCTGGGTTTCTGTCTTCCCCCCCACTGCCCATATTTTCCTATATTTTCTGGGGAATGGACGATCAACTGTGTCTGTGTGTTTTTTCTCCTCCTGAAGCTCTTTCCGCTTGTAAGCGGGTCTCTGGGAAATTGCAGGCATCCAACCTGCGGGTGCTCAAAAGGTGTGGGCGGGGGGGGGGGGGGGGCGAACCGATGGAAGAGAAACATGCACGCACGGAAAGCGTGTCGTGTGGATCCTCCGTCTGCCTCCTCCTCCTCCTGCTCCTGCTTGGGTGCTCGAAGGGGGGTGGGGTCAAGCGCCTATGCGAATCGGGGGCGGCTCTATGCACCGGTACCCGGAATGCGATCCACTTGCCCCACCCGTCGTGCCCGCCCGCGCAGGCTCGAAGGGTACGCGTGGAAAGTGGGGGAGTCCACTTGACCCCGCTTGCCCCGCTTGCACAGGTGGGGCAACTAATTAAGGCCAGCGCATCGTAAGTCCGATAGCGTAACGGCGCAGCATGTTCAATCTGTAAACGTATGTATACACGTGCATGCATCCATACATTCGTGCATACACAAATTCTGGCGAGGGAGATCCTCAAGACCCTTTTTGTGCACCACACGCTCCCCGCCCCCGTCAGATTCCGCCGCCCAGGACCACGCTCGATTTATTTCAAAAACCACGCCCCTGGGAGCCCGCGACCGAGACCCTCGCCCACCCCCAGGGCTGGATATTATGTATGTATATATATATATATATATAGATATATAGATGTGTATATATATATATGTATATATATATACATATATGTACGTATATATAAATGCATGTACGATTATCTACATATGTATGTGCAATATAAATGTACAAATCTATACACATCTATGTATATATATATATATATATACTTCTCTCCTTCTCGGGCGAAAGAGGCGACGAATGCTGTGGTGCCTCTGCGGCATCACCACGCGACCACCTTCCCGCCCGCACCCCCCGCGCCTCCTGGGAGCTGGAGCCGCCGAGCGTCCCGTGGCCCGACGCCCTCTCCGCCCTTCGGCGGTGGACAGACCTCCCTTCAATGAACCTCCCTGCAGTGAAGACGGCCTGGGACCGAAGCCGACGGACCTGGACCCGCAGAAATGACGGCCGCGACGCCCTCTCGCGAACCGAAAACGGCCAATTCGCCAACCGACGCGTCAGGGTAGGAGGTCTGTCCACCCCCGAGCCCTGGGCTATTCGGGACCCCCCTCCCGGGTCGAAGCGCGCCAGGACTGGGTGCAACATCCGGCCAGGACAGCGCGTCGGTCCGGGCACAGCGAAAAACCACAGCCCGAGCGGAGTGGATTTTTCTCTGGAGGGCCCCATCAAGGAGAACCCATCGACCTCGACGGGAGAACACTCGGTCGCGGAAAACTTGGTCGCCCTGGACGCCCACATCGACCACAACCAGTACTGCGGCAGATTCGCGTCGTGTCGACCCCAGCGTTGCTTCCTGACACCGCGGGGGTCGTTCACACTTGAACGATCGGACGTTCCGTGGAACGCCGGATCGTTCAACGACGGGCCGATTCTGGACCACGGGCGCCGTTCAACCTTAAACGCACGCGGTGGGGTCGCCGCCAGTCGGCACGACGCGAACCTGCCGAAAGCTGCCTTCGGTGTTCTGACGATTGCTGGCATGCGCAAGACATCCTCGAAAATTGTGTTGCTCTCATCTTACTTAAGGACCACATCCCAGAAAAAATTCGAGCACCTGGAAAAGTGTCGAAGGATTGTCAAATAGTGTCGAAAGAGTGTCTCCCAGGGCCCGATACATGAAAAACCTCGAGTTTCCGTACTTTTCTGGTGATCGGAATTCTTGTTGGTGATAAAGTAGGTTGGAACAGCATAACTCGAGGGCGTGTCCTCGATGTTGAGGTCGGTGGCTGTCCCCGCAATCGGGGATCTCCGAGATCCAGCGGCTCTGGAGGATGTACTTGGCGCCGCGGCCGTTCCAGAGCGGTCCAGAACGCTCCGAGGGCGTTCCTGCATCCTCCAAAGGGTTTTTTTTCGGCCCTGGACTTAGGTCGGGCATGTCTCCCTACAGGCGGATTTGGACGACAAATGAAACAACTAAAACGATACCCCAAACATACCCAAACATGCTCAAAAATAGAAAAAACGTTCCCCATACGATTTTCTTGCTATTTCTGAATACTCGTCCTGTAGAGGGACATGCCCGACTCAACCCCCGCCCGGCCCCCTGCTTGCACGCCCGAGGAGGCACGGAAGATGGGCACGCTGTTGCCCCAAACAGCCCACGTTGCCCCCAAACCGACAGCGGCCGCTGCTGGGCACGCGACTCCTTGTCTCAGGCGAGCAGCGGCCCCGGCGACACCGACAACGAGCCCCCCTGTTCAGAAGAACAGGAAGCTCATATCGGGGGCGGCCAAGAGGGGGGTGTCCAGGAGGGGGTGGCGCAACTCATGGCCGGCAGCACGTGCGCGGCCCAGTCTTTGGGGGGGGGCAGGGACGTGATTAATGAAATAAGAAGAGGCGCCACGGAATCTGAAGAAATAGCATGGCCCACACCATGATATCCCCCCCCTAGTCATCAACTCCCTCGTGGCCGCCCCCGATCGAATGAAAAAGACATTTATAGCAACTGCTGTCGTCTTCGTGCCCATTCTTTCCGTGCCCATTCCGGTCGCACCGACCCTGGGCCTGCGCGTTCTTCAGCTTCTTCGACGGCAGCCGGTTGATCGTCCGAACCTGCGGCGCCCAGCGGGAGGCACCCTGAGATCCGACGTCACGAGAAGCTTGACCCGGGGGTTGCGAAAGGTGCCCCTGGCCCAAGTTTCCCTCAGCTTTTCGCTCAACTCTGGAGCCCCTGGGGCCATCTGGACCTCGTGAGGGGTGCTCTGGAGCCCGTCGGGGCCTCCTTTCGGGCTGGGCGAAAGGGGGGGATAGCAAAGGGGGGGTTTGAGAATCAGCTCACGTAGCTGATTTTCCCGGCGCCTCCCCGCGCCGGGAGGCGCCCATGTATCGAGGAATGGGCCCCTCGGTGGGGCCGAAACCAGCTGCATGCAGCAGATTTCGTAACCCCCCCTTTCCCAATCCCCCCCTTTCGTCCGGCCCGATCCTTGGAAATCCTGGGGACACCTTGGACCAGGGGCACTTCTAGCAACACCCGATGGAGGCATCGCGAGAATTCACGGGCGGAGCACCCGACCCCATCTTTCTGCGCCACGCTTCGAGACTTGAGCAGGGACCGACCGTCCCAGCATTCCTCCAGGCCTACCACGACGTGTTCTTAAACCCAACAGTGTTCTAATAATCATTACTACGATGTTCTTAGACCATGAGCCAGATGTGCCAAAACAATACAATCTCAGCCAGAAATGTCCTGAGAACATTTCGTGCAGACCATTAAAGTTTAACTTAGAACATTATTTGGGGGGCCCATATCGAGCGGGGACGTTGCTACTGCTTGCGAGACGCATCAATATGTGAGGGTCCCTGGCCTCGAAATTGGGCGAAGATGCCCGGCTCGGAAAAATGGTATGCTTAGGTCGGGCATGTCCCCCTACGGGCGGATTTTGGATGAAAAATCAAAAATACACCAAAAATATACAACATAGCCCCAAACAAATTGCAAACATCGTCCACGGACTATTCTTTGGATTCGTTTTGAATATTCCCCGTGGGACCGGCGCGGCCGGCGGCTGGGGCTCGCACATCGTGGCGCGAGGCACGTCCACGGACGAGGGGGGGACCCAGCTGCTGGAGGCCTCCTGGAGGGGGTCGGAGCAGATGGGGTCGAAGGATGGCGCCGCCTCGCCAATGCATCGCCGATGTATCGGCGACGTATCGGCGACGCATCCGCGACGTCGGCGTGGGGAAAAACGGGCTCCACGGCGAGCCGCATCGTCGATGCATCGGCGATGCGGCGCCAGCCTCCGACCCCATCTGCTCCGACCCCACCTGGGAGGCCCAGAGCACTGGAAGAAGAAGAGGGGGCCATGAGATCCAGGGAGACATCATGGCCCTGGCCATGAGATCCCCCCCTCAGTCCCAGTCCCAGACTTAGGTCGGGCGTGTCCCCATACAGGCGGATTTTGGAGGGAAGAGCGAAGATACTCCAGACGCATGCAAACATAGTCAAAGAAAGGATAGAAGAATCGTCCCCAGACTATTTTTTGACTACTTTTGAACAGTCCCCCCGTAGAGGGACACGCCCGACTTCATCCCAGACCATGAGCGTCTCGGGAGACCCGACGCCGATCTGTTTCGTAGCTTTCCGCCTCTGGAGGCCCTCGCCGGGCCCCTGGGACCCTCCAGGAGCGACGCGGGAGGAGCCGGCCCCGGAGGAAAGGGTCCAGACCTCTGGGAACCCGTATTTTCAAAGGGCCCAGGGTCACACAAATCCCAGGATTCCAAGGATTCCCATCTTTTTCAACAAATCCCAGGATTCCAAGGATTCCAAGGATTCCAAGGAATCCCAGGATTCCAAGGATTCCCATCTTTTTCCACATTTTCGTCTTCCCCCCCACTTCCCATAGTTTCCCACATTTTCCTGGGAGCCGGCCATGAATTGTGTCTGCGTGTTTTCCTCCCCCTCCTGAGCATTGGGGAACTCATGGCATCGGATCGGCTGCACGCAGAACTGACCCTGGGGCAGCGTGACCTTTGGTGCGCGGCTGTTTGGGGGCCGCCGGGGGACCCAACACGAGCGCGCAAGACGCTGCTATCGCATCGCGTTCGGCGATCGGGGGGTCCCAGTGGTCGGGGGCGCGCAAACATGGATTAGCGATCCATGGATCTGGCGCGCGGTCGCCAAATCCATGGATCGGGGGAGGTGTCCTCCCCAAAATGCGGCTGGTGCCGCCTCGTTCGGCCGCGGAAATCCGCGATTTCCCCATGGAAACGGGACCCGTCGCAAATCCACGCCCCCTTGATCCATGTTTGCGACCGCCTGACATGGGCCCGCTCCAAAATGTCACTCCGGCGAAGGGTCACTCCCACGTGTAGTTGTCGGATGTCTGGGGTCATTGCCTCCCTCTGCCAGCCCCGACCGGCCAGGGGCCGGCGCAGGCCAGGACTCGGCTTCGGCCGGGCATGTCCTCCTGAAGGTTGGGGCGAAAAATAAACAACATGCTCAAAACATACCCCCCAAACAATCAGACTCAAACACAAGACATACTCAACAAAAACAAATACTCAAAAAAAACATCGACTCAAAACAAAAGATGCTCAGAATATCGTCATCAGGCTATTTTTGACTATAGTTTGGGATATTCTTCCTGTAGAGGGACGGGCCCGACTTGAACGAAGGATTGCAAAAAAACCCTGGATTGCAAAAAAACCCTGGTTTTTTGTTTGCAATCCTTCGTGCAAAAAAACCCTGGATTGCAATCCTTGGTTTTTTTGCAATCCCTCGTTCGAGACTCGGCCCTCGGGGCCGTCTCGCAGGATCGCTCGCTCCAGGCGGACCCTCCTGCCCGCGGAGGAGTTGCTGCGAGGCGGCCGCGGCGGCGGGCCCCGCGCCCTCGGCGGCTCGTCCGCCCTGCCTCACCCCTCCTCCCTCCTCCTCCTCCTCCCTCCTCCTCCTCCACCTCCTCTCCTCTCCTCCTCCCTCCTCCTCCTCCTCCACCTCCTCCTCCCTCCTCCTCCTCCTCCTCCTCCTCCTCCTCCTCCTCCTCCCTACTGCTCCCTAGTCCTCCCCATCCCTGCTCCTCCTCCTCCTCCTCCTCCTCCTTCTCCTCCTCCTCCTCCTCCTCCTCCTCCTCCTCCCTACTCCTCCCCATCCCTGCTCCTCCTCACTCCCCTTCTCCCCCGCCCTCCGCCCTCCGCCTGCTCATGCTCCCTCCGCTCCCTCTCCCTCTGCCCCCTCCTCCTCTTCATCCTGATTGTCCTCCTCCGCCCCCCGCCCCCCAAGACATCATCAATCTCCTCTGCCTCGTCATCTTCCTACCTCCCCACCCTCCTCCTCCCGCCTGCCGCGCCACTCCTTCACCCACCCCCTCCTCCCCATCCAGCCCTCCTCCGACTCCTGCCTCCTCAATCCTCCTCCATTCCTTCTCCTTATAAATAACTCCTCCCTGTCGCAGCCCGAGGCCAGTTTTTAGGGCGGGCCGGGCGTTTCGCCTGAGACTTCCTCACCATTTGTGACTCTGAAACTGAACAAGTAACAACCGCTTCAAGGATGGAGGGCGGGTGGTTTTCAACATGTGGCTCTCGGCTTAGCGCCGCGCGAATTTATACAATTTCAACGAATGTCACGGATTGAGGGCGGGCCGTTATTTTAATGTGGCTCTCGCCTTAGCGCCGCGCACATTCGTTTTAACATTTGCAAGAATTTCACGGATTGAGGGCGGGCGGTTTTCAAAATGTGGCTCTCGCCTGAGCACCGCGCACATTCGTTATAAACAATTGCAAGAGTGCAAGAGTTTCACGGATTGAGGACGGGTCAATTTCTAACTGTGGCTCTCGCCTTAGCGCTGCGCACATCCGTTTTTTAACATGTGCGAGAATTTCACGGATTGAGGGCGTGTCGCTTTCAACATGTGGCTCTCGCCTTAACGCCGCGCACATTCGTTGAAACTATTTGCAAGAGGTTCACGGATTGCCATGATCAACGTACCAGAATTTGTGCTTCGGGAGGATTCAGGACTATGCGGGCGCAACAATTATGTTGATTCGCCGTGTTGGAATCACAAAAAAAAGCGCGTTCTGGCACGATTCTGG